CGTTACCTAACCCTTCATCCTCGTTAACATCAAGATCATTACGCTCTGTATCTTGGTTCATGAATTGTTGATTCCTTCTTTCTTCTATAGTAGGTGGAACCTTTTCTCCGAAATCGTATAAGTAAGAGCGTGTACTTGGATTAATAGACGAAGCTTCTGTGTTAGGGACTCCTGGAATATAAGATAATTCAATAGGCGACTTCGGCGATGGTATATTATTTGATAGGCCTTGTGAAACCTTAGGTGATGCTTTAGGTGATGGGGTTTCAAGATCAAATAGCGGCAATGTTGGAGTCAGTGAATTAGGACTTGAGTTTTGATTATCCAAACCACGAGGCAATATGTCACTCTCAATACTTGTTGATGCAATATCCGTATCAACGGTCGAAGAAACTAATTGGGGCGATAATGAAAAACTGTCAACAATGGCTGATTTCAGATATTCTGTTGCATCATCAAGCTTCAAGGATTCCTCACGTAACCAAGTTTGGTGCTTCTTATGCTCATTTCTAATTCTATTAGCCCATTTCAAAATCACTAACCCAAGCATTAATCTAATGAACATTAAAGTAAAGAAAGTAATTAATATTAACATTAAGCTTATAATGAGCGAATAAACAAATGAATTTGTAGCTTGAAAAAAAAACAATTGTTTAATATCCGGATAGGTCATACGAAGAAAACAAACAATTGAAGCTAATAACGGTAACCCAATCCGTTTAGTTAAAACAATATAATCAGTTAGCTCGGACAGGACATCAATATCGGAATTTGATGTGGATTTGAATACTTGGATATAATCCAAACTTAGTACATATAAGAAATTGCGATAGATTCTTGGTCTAACTCTATTAAATTTAGTAATATAGCAATGTTTGAGCCAATCGACAAAAATTTCACTACCAATCACTACTATGCTTGGGCCGAAAAGAGCCCCAAACCAATTGTTCCAACTTTTCCAACTATTGGGTATTATACCCATATGAATACTGTTCAATTGTAGTAAATTACGCAATGCAATAATGCCCAACATGAGTGATAATTGGAATCTCTCTGTCAAGTCTGCCATAGTTATTTGAAATAAACCTTCTCTGTCAAACTTTTTGAAGACGGATCCTTTTAATTCCGCAAATTGATTAGACAACAAAAGTGTTAACAATGCGTTGGAATATGAATTGGCAGCAACATTTAATGAAACTGTTTGATAAATGAGAATATACGAATGCAATGATAAGTATAATATGGAAAATATAAAAAATATAGTAAACTTTATCCAAGCCCTGTTTCTAGTTGGTGTGATCGGTATTTTGTACAAAATGTTAAGAATATCTTGACCTATGGACGAGCATAGCTTATCGGCCACTTCCAACACACCGAACATAACATACAATTTGATATCGGCTTGTCCCCTTACATCGTGATACATTCTTGATATGTCTAAATTGGGCAAGGAAAGCATAGAAAATGATAGAATCAAAATAGCAAGAGTAATAACATCTCTTTTGATCCAGCGGAATTTATTGTAAAATATGTCCGAATTCAATCCCCGGTGCACTTTAAAATGATGTATAGACTCAACCACCGCCTTGTAGCTTAGAATGAGAATCTTAAGCGGCACTAACGTAAACAACGTCAAGAATGAGTTCAAACAAACCAAAAGACCGAAAATCATAAACCGTTCCAAGGCCAAAGGCACCTTAACCAAATTCGATATTTCTTCATATGAACTATCAATCTCGTCTTTCTGGGAGCCGCTGGTTTGTGCTGATACAGAATTGTTCTCATCTGGCAAATTCAATTCTAACTTTAGCAACCTATAGAGCGAGAAGATTTTATCTCTATTTCTCCAATTAGGCGTCAGCGAATGCGTCGCATGACTTCCATTTGAAATAAAATTCAAGAACGATGTTGTTGTAGACGATCTGGATCTTGGGTTGATAGAATATGTTGATCTTGAAGTGGATCTGGATCTTGAATTTGATTCTAGCGATGTGTTTAAATGACTTGTGCCTGTAGCGCCACGACCATCCAAAGATCTGTTTCGATTTATTCTATTCCTACCCATAAAATAAGTAGACCTAGTACATTTATTACAGAATCAATCGAATAATTGCCAGGAAGAATAGTCGTCTATATGGTACCTGATAAACAGAATTTGAATTCTTCTATGTTTATGAGTCACGTGCTTATCTGTAAACAAAAAGAAGGCCAACTAGACAAATCAATCAACAGTATATGATAATTAATTGATGAGTTTATGATTAGTTAGTATGGAGGTCCTAGGTGTGCAGTCATTTATCGAATATTTAAAGCCTTTTTCGAACAAGGAATTGGTCAGTCCAGCAGAAGCTTCACGTATTCTGCTAATAATTACCGAGCTCCTCATTGATCATACGGTCGACTTGGACTTATTAAAATTTCTTAGTAGGTTCTTAACCCAACAAACATACGATGAAATAATAGAAGAAAAGAATATAGAACATCAATGTGGATATATATTATGTAACAATTCTCCAAAACAACAAGTTCGTCGTCTATCATCTAATAGTAATGGTACGACGTCGACAGGCATAGGCGAAATTTCAACATCCACCAAATTTCAGATCTACAATCGAAAACCATCCATGATATTGCCGAATACGTATCTCTCCCAATATTGCTGCAAGGAGCACTATCAAGCTTCGTTATTTTATCGTAACCAGTTATCACAAGAAGCAGTATTTGCAAGAAAGGATATTCTCAAAGTTAGCCCATTTCCTGCTGATTATCCGTCAACTTGGTACGAAAATGGAATTACATGCCTTGAAGAGGTATTGGCCAAGCATAAAGAATTGAAAGAACAAGGAAAATCGTTGAGTGAAGTTATATCAATGATGAATGGTTTATCTGTCGTGGATGAATCAAGAAGTAATGAAACCAATGAATTGATTAAGTTAATTGAAGACTTTGAAATTGTTGAAAAGGAGGGTGGTTTAGAAGGTGACGGTCTTCCAGATGAAAGTCAGTATCTAGACAAGGAAGAAATGTCTACTGGTGTTGATGGTTACTACACCACTGATACAAGTTTTGGAGGCTACGTTGTATAATGACGTGATAGTCATTTAATCTACGAGCACATTCGATACTATTGCATTGAAGATATTGGCATATTTCGGACATTTTCTCAACTTCATACGTGCAAAATTATATATTTATATATATATACTGTATAATACTTCATTTACGACGCTAATGAAAAGAAGGAATTTACTATATTACACTATGTACACTTAAGATTCTAAAATTTTAGTTTTCTATCGAAATTTACACCAAGCTTGAAATTATGATAACCCACATCATCTAAATAATCTCCTAAATGCTTGCCCATGCCAATTCTTTCTAGACTTGGCATTCCTCTCTGATTTTTCTTTGTCTTTCTTGAATCATTTTCTATTATATAATCGTTGTAGGTTTTCGTTACTGTATCCAGATTAACAATTTCTGAGTGTTTAAACACCTTATTATCTTCTATTAATTTTATAATATGCATAAATCTTTTCAATTGTTCATTATAATGCTCGTTCATTTGGCGCTGCAATATCTTTTGTTCCCGTAATAATGGAGATTTCGAAGATTTCAATTTGTTGTACTTTAGATAATACGAAGTTAGCCTCTCGTTGACAATATCAGTCGCATCGTCTAATGAATCGGACCATTCCTTAACATATGACGCCACATCTCTATCACAGTCATTTTGTGCAGATCTATCTATTAAGTATTCCCATAAACCTTCTCCTTTTGCCAATAGATCGTAGTAGATTTTTGGATGAAGTCTCTCATCGTCGCCAAACCCATTACTACCCCGTACACTATAACTTCCATCAGAAAATTGCGGTTCAGTGATGCTGACATCATTTCCCGATGCGTTCCATACTGTTTTGAGTCTCACTAGTCGCATCATTTTCTTAATATCTAGCGCCACTTCTTTTAGTTGGTTGAGTCTTGGATACGGCATTCTAATATACGGAATTGATACCGGTCCTGCTTCTGTTAATTGTATCTGAACTTTGAATGGGCCTTTTTCGTTCACTATTGATTGTAAATGTTCAAGATAGTGATACTTATTAATATCAAATTCCATCGCAGGTTTTACTACACCGTTTATATATTCTAGATCATATGCGTATGCGATGGATGACTTGCGGGTGGAACCAGGAATTGAAATCGACGAAGAAACTGTCTCTTCTACAGGTAATAATGCACTTTCAGGTGTATAAGGTAATAAATGAGGTGTAGGTATTTCATGATTAATCTGTAACTTTTTCAAATAACGACGAAGCAATTTCTGCGTATTTTCCTCACAATTCAACAATTCCTTTTTAATCCGATTCTCTTTTTCTTTCTGGGAAACGTTCTTAAAACCATGTAGATGCGATTGGGGTTTCTTCGACTTCGATACAATTTGTTTCAACAAGAGCGTGGGTTTGTCCTTGTTCTTGCCCTTATCTATCTCACCAGGATCTTTTAAATATTCAGCCCTCCAATTTTGCTCACGTATTTTCTGCAGGCGATACTCTACCAATTTCTCTATCAAATTAAAGCTTGCCGTTTTGTTATGCTTTATATTTTCTAAGTTATTTTGAAGCTCCAATCCTGCGACTATTCTTTCTCTCAATTTATTCGGATTATCTATCTTTCCCTTATTTTTGTTTCTAAATTCGTCATGAATGATATAGAGCAACTCTGACTTTAAAAGCTTTACATATAATTTCCGGTCAATATTAGCTTTGAACAATTCTGCTTGAATATCTTTGGAATATGCATCATTGGGTTGTTCTATCTCTAAAGTTGATAATCTCTTTGTATGTCGTATAAGTGATCTATACAATGTAATCATTGCATCTTTATGAGCAAATGACTGTTTGAATGAAGCACTTAGCATATCTCTAGATAGTGCTTTGGGACATAAACATAATGAATAGGTAGAAGCCATTTTGCAAGTTTTTTTGAGATAGAGATACATGTCGCACGTGAGGGAAACCAATATCAGAGATGATTAACGTCTAACAACAACTAGGTGTAAACAACAAAAGAAATTGAAGAAATGGTATGTATATCCCAATTGATACGGCTTATTATATTGTTAATGTACTAATTTGGACTTAGCCTCCTAAACTTTCGAAAACTTCGAAAACCAACCAAATTACCATCATAAAATTCAAGCGGAACAAAAGTACTTATGTTTTGCCTTTAGACCTAAATACCAAAGCTTCTTTATCTTTAGAGAATTTTAAATCCTCATTGGCTAAAGCAATAGAACAGTCAGGCGGTATCTCTCTTGTCGAGGAGGACGAGGAAACTAATAAGTTGGATGAAGACGATATCGAAGTTCCCAAATCAGAATACATTGATAACATGGAGAATGATGGAATGATGGAAGATAATGAAGAAGATTTCAAGAACATGATCCAAGATGTAAAAGCCGATAACTTGATATTGGCACTTCCAAAGGATAAGACTTCGCCGTACGATAATAACTGGATCGAAATAACAGACGACTCTAGTATATCAAGCCTTAAGTTTAATGATTATGATGTAATAGCTTTTAAACATGTTGACGACGATAGATTTTTCATTTCGGAAGCTGCATACGATGAATAATATTAATTTGCTATCATTTTGAATATATAGTGTATATAATACTTACTTCATGAAGAGTACAACAAGTCGACTTTCTCTTGCGATATGCTTATCTAATGTACAATAAAACTAGCACTTTCTTCCGTTGGTGCCGCTTACTTTTCTAATCCCAGCAGAATGCACCCTGTTATTGGCGTTCTTAGATGGGATCATACCCGAGTTAACTCTTGAGTTGGACCTGGACTTCGGTATTTTAATATTTTGAGTTGGTGAAGAGTGTGGTGAAGAAGATAACGTGGTACTTACAGTCCTTGTAGTGGTGGTTGTCGTTCTCTTTGTCAACAGTACCGGCAGGTTGCCTGCATTCACAGAGATAGAACGTAAAACCTTCCAATCGTTCGCTCCTTGATCTCTTTTATTGTTTGCTATTGTGCCCTCGACATCCTGTATTTCTGTGTCTTGTATATCCCCTTCTGCCTCATATGTAGGTTTTCTAACTGGGCTTTGAATATCTTGCATCGACTCAGTTCCATTATTATCATTTTCTTCATCTGAATTGTTAATAATTTCGACAACGCCCGAGTTATCTTCTTCCTTGTACTTTCTTGGTTGGCCAGGTGATTCCATTGGTACAGCTGTCTGAATTTTGGCTGCTAAGGCGCCACTTATTTTTCTCCTTCGAATTGGTGTGTGGAACGAAGAATCCATATGGCTTACCGAAGAGTTTATTTGTTGCTGTTGCTGCAACTTTCTTTGTTTAGCTTCTAACTTCATCCTGGCTTTGAAATCTTCATATGAGGTTAAAGAGTATAATCCTCCGATAACTTCATCTGGTCTATTGTCTAAGCACATGGTATGTCTCCAATCCCTAAAATCATTCTGGTGCAAGTACAACCAATGTTGTTGGGGTCCTACAACCATACCTGGACGGATTAATCTCATATAACTGATACATTCATTAGCAGTAAAACCATGGGTATAGATTAAATGGGCACCAATGAGACACCCAGTTCTACCTAAACCAGCCTTACAATGAACTGCAATTTTACCACCTTTATTTATCACACATTCCGCAGCACCAATAAATTTCTGAACATACTCCAAAGTTGGGCATGTTCCGTCGTCAAAGATCATGTCGATATGTTGAATACCTCGTTTCGTAAATTCGCTAGCATCGTATAAGTGGGAATTTAATCTAACTACCAATTGCACATCATTAAGCATGAAATAATTTAGAACCTTCTTGAAAGGTTCATTTAGCGAGCCCGGCTTTCCCCCTCTCATACTTTGCTGTGGAGATGCGAAGGCAATAAAGTCCTTGGACACAACGTTAAAGTCACCCTGGTCGACCCTTTCATATTGCTCATACTCCTCTAAATTGAAGCTTGTCAAGTCTAACATCCCTCTTTCTTTAGCTCTCCACATACCGTACACTATGTCCTGTACGGTTATTTCGAAATCTGCCTTCGAGTACCCAGCATCACGGAAACCCTGTAATGGAGGCTCGATCTGTGATATTGGTTGCAATACCTGATGGGGTGACCACGATTGGACCAAAACCATATAGCAACAAAGCAAGCAAGCAGCATTAGCTCTCTCCTTAGGAGAAGTGGTACTGTAGAAAACAATAGCCTTTCCCTGATTAGCTTCCTCGTTCAAAATGTTATGCAAGACTACCGCAAACCTATACAAGCTCCCAATATGCAAAGGACCAAAATCTAAGTGAAACGCATTATAAGGCAATGCATCCTCGACGGTAAAGTATACCAAATCGTTCGTATCTGGTGGAGTATAATCGTATGCTCCTAGGTAAATTCGGTCTAATATTTGTTAGTTTATTTCCTCCAACATGTATAACTAAAAAGAAAAATTACTTACTTCTTAAAAACTCAATAAGGGAAATGTTCAGTTTAATCTTTGGCATATGAATGGGTGTTAACTGTTGGCTAGGATCGAAATTTATCAATAATTAATACAAATGAAATGAAAGAAAAATAATGCTAGTTACGTCTGAATGCAAATAGAAGGTCGGTAATAAGAAACTAAAAACTCAGAACACAACACAAGACTAGTTTCAAATGAGATCCGCTTTTTTTTGTTAAATTTTCAACAATATTCAATAGAAGAAGTACTAATCAACAAAGATATGATTTCTAGAATATCTAGCTTAATTATGTACTAGTGTTGTTGTTTTCATTTCGTCTTGTTCTGTGTTATTGTTTTGTGCTAGGACACACCGCACTTCCCTGATTAAGTCGCAGTATCAAAATCGATTTTATCCCATACTTAAGACAATTACATTGGGAAATAGATTATTAACTCGAATATATCACATTATGGTACGTTGATGGCGACGTAAATTGACAGGGAGCGGTTATGAAATACATTTACTAACGACGTTTGTGGTAAAAGGCGCCCTCATTATATACTTTCACATCCGAGACTTTATCTGCGCTTCGCAAATTTAGATTTGGTAGTTCTAGGGTTGACAAGATGCAAGCTATTATATGTATGTATATTGTTTATGTGTTAAGATAAGGAGATTTATCGGGTTGAAAGAATATTAATACTAATGTTTTAGATACAATCGATAAAGGATCGTACGAAATCAAGAGAGAGGACGAAGATCAAGTCATAGACAATATTGAAGAATTGACAGAAGAATTACCAGACAACAGTCCTAGATTTGTGGTCTTATCGTACCCATTCAAGTTGTCGGATGGGAGATTGAAGACTCCATTGGTTTTGTTGTACTGGAGACCCCCAACATGTGGTCAGGAGAGCAAGATGTTATACGCAGGGTCAGTTGAGTTAATGAGAGAAAAGGCCGGAGTAGCAAAGTATGTATAATTACGGTGGCATTACAGGGAAATATACTAACGACGCAGGGTTATTGAAATAAGTGATGAAGAAGACTTCGAGGATCTCGAGGATCAATTGAAATAGGGTTATTAACTAACATCTTGATTATATCAAGCAATATATATATATTATAGTCAATATATTTGTATAAACTTTAAGAATCGATCACAGAATATCAAGTTTAGAATGCTATAAAATGCGAGTACCAGTTTAATTTATTTCCAGTAAAGCCACGTTTACTGTCTATTAATTGTGCCAATACCTTCTGATTTTACGTACAGACTATAGTTCTACTTAATTTCATTATGATAACAGAGAGTCTGCAACTATTTACGAAGGTCATTGGTTATAGGCCGCAAACTATGAATTGTTCGATTAACCACTTCCCTAATGTAAGGCTTGAGTTTCAAATAGTCTTGATCTTCTATCATTTCGTCAAATTCTTCCATAGCAAAGCGTAAACCATAGGGTATGCCGGAAGGATGCAATGCACATAAAAATATACTACCCTCCGCATACCAGTATGGCGGCTCCCCATGACGGTAATTTTGTAATAAACCGTCAACTCTACTGTCCGTAACTATACTGTGGTCGCATATAACTATGCCACACAAATCATTGAATTTCAGGTAAGGATATCTTGGAGTTAGTGACCCCCAGCAGTAACTATAATCGCTGGGATAATAATTGAATAAATACACTATACTAGCAGAACAACTGGAGCACGAAGAACGATGTTTAAGTCTACTGACTATTTTATCCATATCGACCGTTCCATCACCTCTTGAAGTAATTTCTCTAAAGGGGAACTCATTTCAGCATTCATTTTTAAAATTTTTTCAGGTTTTACACAATATAACAGTTTGCACAATAATAATCAATAATTTCAAGTATCAGATCGTATTATTAATTCTGGTTCATCGGCTACAACTGAACTGACTTCATTTTCCTACGTTCCTTTTTTCTCTGTTCATTGACTTGTATCAGTAGTAAGTTCATAAAATATCTAGATCTATCATTCCATACTCATGAACCTTATCGATAACAATTGAATCACGCACGCTTTTTCTACTTTTAAATGGGACAAAATACGATAAATATGGGGAAGCACACACCTTAGTGGGAATCCGAAGAGTTAGGGCGTAAATTTATCAGAAAAATGATAAAATTGTTCCAGATGATATACATATACAATATCACAACATATCAATGCATTATACTTAACATCGACAATTATTTCTGGAGAAGGTGTATTGTTAGTTCCCGCATATACACACCTTAAGTAATTTTCATCACTTACAATATTTTGGTAGCCAACGGTCGTGTGTGGCCAAATGGCTTGAAGAAGTTTTTCGCTCTTACCATCTAGTGAAAAAAAAATTTTCAGTTCAACTTAATACAGTGTTTCTTCTTCTCTTCACTAAAAAAACAAGAAATAATCCGTCAAAATGGGTCGTATGCATTCATCTGTATGTGAATAACCATCAATGAAACACTACTATTCCAATACTTGATAACTAGTGTGACTTTAAGGATCGATTCGGTTGCATGGGCAGTAAAAAATAGTCAAGGTCTTACCAAGAGTAGACGATTATCTAGCAAATAATTGTCATTATACGCTTTTGGTATTTGATACTTGACTATCGCTCATTGCGGTTACTGGTCGATACCACTTTTTATTGAAGTGTAAGATTGTTAGGGCAATTGCTGCCGGATGACTTTCAGGCTTTGAATTTCCGTGATTGGAATGAAGGCATGGCTAAGTTTCCTGGTAGCGATTGTTCTGATAGTTCGATAGTTTGTGCTTTTGCTTTGAAAGTGCTGTTTACTAACTAATTATAGGGTAAAGGTATCTCCTCCTCCGCAGCTCCATACTCTAGAAACGCTCCAGCTTGGTTCAAGTTGACCGAAAATGATGTCGTTGAACAAATCATCAAGTACGCTAGAAAGGGTTTGACTCCATCTCAAATTGGTGTTATCTTAAGAGACGCTCACGGTGTTTCTCAAGCTAAGGTCTGTACCGGTAACAAGATTTTAAGAATCTTAAAGTCTAACGGTTTAGCCCCAGAAATCCCAGAAGATTTATACTACTTGATCAAGAAGGCCGTTTCTGTTAGAAAGCACTTAGAAAGAAACAGAAAGGACAAGGACTCCAAGTTCAGATTAATTTTAATCGAATCTAGAATCCACAGATTAGCCAGATACTACAGAACCGTTGCTGTCTTACCACCAAACTGGAAGTACGAATCTGCTACTGCTTCTACTTTAGTTAACTAAGTTCTTTTACAAGTTATTAATTTATTGTTATATATATTTTTAAGTAATTTTGTAATTAAATTTAGTGATTAAATCTAATATTGTAATATAGTGTATTAATTGCTGTGTAAAGTAAATTGTGCTTTGCTTTATGAGCTTTATCTGAGCATATAGAATAACTATATTCCTGACGTAATACCAGAAGGTTTGCCAACGTAGGAATTTGGTAATCTGAACTGCATTTCATAAATTTCTTAGATAATTAAAATGGTAATGACTATGATTTACGATATGATTTCACAACCAAAATTGTTAGATTGCATCTCTTTACCAGAACAAATGCCCAGTTAGAAAAGAATTACACGAATTAGTTTTGAATTTGTTTAAGTTAATGTACAAGATCTAGATTCCAAAACCACGAAAAAGCCTGAATTACGAAGAGTATTATTGTAATTAGGTACCATTGATATAATTAGTGAGTACCCAGTTGAATCAGTTCCTTTTAAAGAAGCGCAAAACTTTCTTTTTTGCAAATTTCAAAGGACATTGAGAGAAAACGTTATCTAACTCTTCTGAAGTTAATTCTTTTGTTTCTGGAATCAAGAAATAAGTAAAGAAGAATGCGAATAAGTTAAACGAAGCATAAAAGAAAAGACCGCCGCTTGGACTCATGGTTTCAGCCATCTTTGGCCAGGTCATACTTAAGACAAAATCTAGAATCCAATTGATAGCCATACCAATGGCCACCCCCAATACTCTAACATTTAATGGATAAACCTCCGCATTATATGTCCAACTGATTGGACCAATTCCAAGCCCAAAGAAAATAACAAACATATACATGGCAGTTAAACCTGAGCCTAAGCGGGAATTATCGTCAGAAATGTATAATGAACCACCGAGCCAGAAAAGACAACCCGAAAGAGGAGGGAAAGTCGAAAGTAGCATTCTCCTTCTTCCATATCGGTCAATGCATTGAGAAGAAAAGAAAGTAGCTAAGAAACATCCTCCACCAAGTCCGATGCTTCCAGCTATGGCGGTTTTTGGATCCACGCCAGAACCCACTAAAATTGTTGTTGTATTTACACCACAGTATTGTTGCATAATCATGTTAAATGCTGATACTAATAACGCATATTTCACTCTGCCATTGGTAAAGAAAAGGCTAATTTGGGAAGTGATTGGGATCATCTCAATCTCATCTGATCGCTTCAAGGAATTATATAAAACAATGAAATCTCTTGACCCTGCAAGTTCACTATTACGCAATTTGATGAGAGATATTAATGCCTGGTCATCCTTATGAATAGAAAGCAAATAACGAGGAGATTCGGGAATAAAGACCACGAGGGCAGCAGTTAAAATGGGAGCGACAAAGGAAGCTCCAATCATTAATCTCCAACCTATATATTCCACATCAACAATAGCTCGATTAAACACACTTCCAAGCATAACTACAAATGCAACAAAGGTTTACCACAACATTAAAAAGGCGCCTCGAGACTTTGCTGGAGCAGCTTCGGCGATTAACAAAGGAACAGCGGAAGAATTCAAACCCATACCGACTCCAAGAAACAATCGAGAAGCTAATAGAGAACCCATTGATTGACTGAAAGCTTGCCACAAGGATCCGCCAACTCCAAAAATACAAGAGATGAAAATAATCCATTTCCGACCAGTGTATTTATCTAAAAGAATGGCGAAACCAATTCCAATGGTCCCTGCGGCTAAATATGGTGCCGCATTGACAGCGCCTTGAATATTTGCATTGGTGATATGGAACAATTTAATATAATCCAATTGAGCTCCACTTACTGCTGATTCGTCGTGGCCAAAGTTGACAGCGGAAAGACAAGCTGAAAGTGCCACCAAAAACATGGTCCATGATTGAGCTCTGATTGAGTGTTTTGATTCGAACACAAGTTGATCTACTTCAGCATTATTATAGTGGTGTTGGTGTTCCTCGAGAACATTTCCTCCATCATTGGCAAGTACTGCACCTCGATAAATTAATACTTTATGAGGATTCAAACTTTTATTATTCTCAATAATTGCATCAACGCTCTCGGCTACTTCTTTGTCTGTTAAACCTGCTTGGAAGATGGTAGAGTGACTGGAAGTATCGGAAACGTTATCTACTTCATCACGAATCAAGTCTTTCTTGTTTTCTTCATACATTTTGATTCGTAAGTTTATTCATGCATTAAACTGGAACATATATTAGCCTTTGTATCACATTTCTTCAATATAATAGTATTTCGTTTCTTCCTTAGTTTAATAAATAACCGATTCTGTTGAGAAGCAGCTCATCTCGGCCACACTTTTCGCAATTATAAGCATCTTGCCTAACGATTACCACGTTCGATTGTGTATTAAGGTTCATTATGGCTTCACCGATCGAAGGCGAGAAATTACAGTCTTTAGTCAGGTTAGGTTTGCCGTAATTTCTGGTTGAAGAAAACCTGTGGGTTTAATGCTGACATTTTGAAATACTACTTCGACTTGGTTGCAAATAACATCCATACATCAAAATAGTACACCTATTTCTTGGATGATACTTACTCTGATACTTAGGGGTACATTGTGGCTCCATTGACTATAGTTGATGGTTCTTATTCTTAAGTAAGGAATCACTTGGTTGGAAGTTAAGGACCGTCTGGATATACCCCAAGTTTTGATGATAAAATGATGACGAAAGCCTTCACTGACTTTACATATGGACAATAACATCTGTTGCAGAATGGGTGAATCATCTTCAAACAATATTCAGAAATATGGGTTGTGGGATGCATTCTAAGCTTATATTAATAACTCAATGTTGCATGTGGGTGAACTCATGGCATTTGTTATGCCACAACCTTGTTTTCCCATTTCTAGACTAGCATATCTTTTAAAAACATGTTGACAAAATTAACTGATGACCTATTATAGATGATACAGAAGTTGAAGGTCGTTACATAACTATCCTGGGTACAATATTAGATTTGTAACTCAGAATCCATAGATTAGCTATATACTACAGAACCAATGCATCTATCACTAAAATTTTTATTTAGTCTCTTGTTAAGCTGTCAATTTGTTATATATATATCTCGAAGTAACTAATTTAGTGATTAAATCTAATATTGTAATATTGTGTATTGAATTCATTGTGTATAATAATGGTTATCGCGATAGTCATTTTTGCTGATATAACTACATTTTCTTCCTTATATTAAGACAAATTTGATTAAAGCGTACGATGGGCGCTAGGTTGTCATTATTGGCACCTTCAGCACCGACAATAGCTATTTCTTCTTATGTGGATATTCTAAATAATATTCAATATGTCGAATTATTAAACAATTCACGATTTCTTAAGACGATTAAGGCAGTCGATAATGCATCAGGAAATTTGATAGTTATTAAAATACTCATAAAGCCTTCTAATAATACTTCAAATTATAACATAGATTTACAGCAATTGATTGAATTATTGGCAAAAGAATCTTCTTTACTATACGGGTTTAATAACATCCTACCATGGCACAAAATTATAGAGACAGATAGGGCAGGCTATTTGATTAGGCAACTGATTAAGACAAATCTATACGATAGGATATCGTTACGGCCATTTTTGGAACCTATTGAAAAGGCTTTTCTTACGTTCCAAATATTGAGGATAATCCAAGATTTGCATAGTAAATTGAATATCCATCATGGTGATTTAAAACTAGAGAACTTTTTGATCACATCGTGGAATTGGGTAATGTTGACAGACTTTGCGAACTACACGAAGCCAACGTATCTTCCAGAAGATAATCCAAATCAATTTTCTTTCTATTTTGATACATCAGATAGAAGACTCTGTTATATTGCGCCAGAAAGGTTTTATAACTCAAAGAGCAATGTTACACCAGTTCAAAATGTTAACGATTTTGGACAGTTTAATGGAAAAGACCAACTAACAAATGAAATGGATTTATTTAGTTTGGGATGCGTTATAGCTGAATTACATTTGGATGGAGAACCTACTTTTACATTATCACAGATATTCAAGTATATAAAAAATGAGTATATTCCTGATTTATCGACTATTAGTGATTCAAACATTAGAGAAATAATAACTAACTTGATTCTGCTTGATCCTGGGGATAGACAATCGGTTGATACTATACTCACGGACTATAAAGACAAATGTTTCCCTGGTTTTTTTTATGATTTTCTTTATGATTTCATGTCTGAATTAAATAATAATGATTTATTTGTTGTCCCAAGCGATAATGATAATCTAACTCCCAGCGATTTGAAGCTTGAAAAGATTTACAAAAGCTATGACAAGATATCAGATGCTTTACAATTTAACTATTCCAATGATGGCAATTCTTCCTCTTCTCAAAACTCGAAATTCGTACCATTAATGCTCAATTTAAAAGGAATGCCAAAAAACTATAGAGTAAAACCAACAGTAACGTTTATGGAAAATAATTACCTGCAGCAAGGTTCATTGGTTATCCTTAATTTAATTTTCTCTTTGATGAAATCATTCAAGCAGCCTTTATCAAAGATAAAAGCATGTGAATTAATAGTTGCATTATCAGAGAGAGTTAACGATGATTGCAAATTAGATCGCTGTTTGCCATATTTATGTAATTTGTTGGACGAATACATAGAGAGCTCCTCCATAAATTACCAACCAAATAATTTTCAAACCAACTTGTCAGAGAACTTTACATCATCTTCAGAAGTAGCATGCATTGCATTAACGTCTATAACCACCTTAGTCATGACGTGTTCATATATTAATCCGATCAATGTATTAATGTTTTCAGAATATTTATTACCAAAGTTGCACACCTTGATTAGTATATTTCCAAAGAATGAGGACAAAAATTTAATCAAAATAACATTGGCTGCATGTTTGCCTTACCTTGCAAATGTATCTAAGAAATTCTGGATGATGTCCAAGACGTTTAAGAATGATGTTCTAAAAGATTTGAACAGTCGACTTTCGTCAAAACCTCTAGTAGATGGTAATGAAAACGTAAGCGACTCTTACAATTCATTTAGCATTCGGAAAGAACAGTTAGATTCTGATTTTGAAAACCTTGCCTCCAAATTATTAACAGATTTTAACCCCATGGTTAAAATAAGCTTAGTTAACAACATAATGCCATTATGTCAATTTTTTGGTGTTGATAAAACTAATGATATTATCTTACCGCACTTAATCACATACTTAAATGATTCAAATTATGAATTAAGACTCGCATTCTTGTCGTCGATTTTGGGAATAGGCCCTTTCGTTGGAGTTTTATCATTTGAGCAATACATTTTACCCTTATTGATTCAAACCTTAGGTGATCTGGAACAATTTGTCATTTTGAAAGTCTTGGAAATATTTCATTATTTTGTGCGAGATAGGTTGATTAATCCAAAATCTGAATTCAATGCATTGTCAATCTATAAGGAGTTGTTAACAAGCTCAATAAAGTTACTTCTTCTTCCAAATGAATGGATTAGGCAATCAGTAATCTGCCTAATTCTAGCAATTAGTGATAATTTGCTGGATGCTGATAAGTATTGTTTTCTTTACCCTCTTGTAAAGGGGTTCTTGGTGTATGATGTGAACACTATAAATTGGAATACTTTGTATCCGGCTATCACAAAGCCATTATCAAAGCAGATCTACAATTTAGCAATTACTTGGTCATTAAATGCAACGAGTAAATCTTTATTCTGGCAAGAGAAGAGTTTTTCGGTATTTAATGATTCGAAAGCACCTACAAAGATATTGCCCTATTCGACAAATATGGGGAAATCTGTTTATATTCCTAAATCCAAAAATGGATTTTCCTTAAATAATACGAACTCAAACGTTCCATTATCTCCAGAAGATAAACAATGGGTTTTAAAATTAAAATCTGTTGGACTAAATGATAGGGACTTATGGAAGATATTCATTTTACGAGATTATATTTATCATTCCAGCAAATCCAATGCTTCTTCTACGTCTAAAGATGATTTTGAGCTTCCAAAAGACATTAACATTACGCCACGTAATGTCTTCTTCGAAGTTTGCTATAAATCAGAACCTTTTTCATCGGGTTCGAAGACAGCAGAAACAAATTTTGAATCTGTGCATACTCTTTCAGATTCCAAGAAGGATGAAGATTCCACACGAGGGTTAAATTCGCTTATCTTGCCTAATTTTGGTAAGGTAAAAGTTTCATTACAGACTGTTCAAGCAAATGTTTTCGGAGAATTGGATACTAGTCATGATTCTTCCTTCAATGCTAGTACTAGCCATCATCATCATATCCATTCTACGAATAATTCTAATTCAACTCATAGAGTTTTCAGTGTTAATAACCAAAAAATTATCACTGCAAATATGAAGCATAGTTATACTGGTTATAACCCATATATGTTGAATTATTTGCATAATGTCGAATTTGAACCCACGTTAGAGAGCTTTTCAGAATTTGGTAATATCATAAAATCTTCCAAAGCAACTACATCAGATAGTAGTATTTGGAGACCACAAGGCATATGCGTAGCTCATATTAATACAAATAATAGCGATGGTGACATTAGTGGAGTAAACTGCATATCTGTTGGTCCAACTTCAGAGTTTTTCATTACCGGGTCTGAAGATGGAACGTTGAGAGTTTGGGATACTCTAAAGCTAGAAAAGAACATTACGGTTAAACGTGAAAGTCTTTCTATTAAATTAGAGTCATCAATTGTGGGTATTAAATTTATTCCGAATAGATTTGTATTTCTGGTTATAACTACTGATGGAAAACTAAGATTGTTCAGAATTGATGTTTCACGAGGAAAGAACAAAAGAATTACCAAATATACAAGACTTGCGTTGATTAGAAATTATAGCTTGGATATTATAGAGGATGGCTATTTAACAAGTATTGAATATTGTATTTCTCTGCAGCATGCTTGGATTGTTGGTATTACATCTAATTCCAAAATCATAGGATTTGAAATCATCAAGATGGAAGTAGAATTTAATTTGCAAAACCCTGTAATTCTTGGTGTACTTACATCATTCATAGTTGACCACAAAACAGCGTGGTTGTTAGTTGGTACGGATAAGGGTAATTTATGTCTATGGGACTTAAGATTTAGAACTCTAGTCAATTCCTGGAAATTAAATACAAACAATGAATCTGATAATCCGTCTGCAATAAAGAAATTGATTTTGATGCCAAATGATTTTAATCTAGGTGTAAAACTGGAAAGTACTTCTTATTTTGCAATGATTGGTGGTACCAACGACTCAGACATTTCTCTATGGGAAGTTCCGAGCTTTGAATGCCGTGAAGCGTTTAGTTCGAGTGCAATTAACCCAAAAGTCAAGTTGTTTTCATTGGATGAAATCGAAGTTACCAAAGAGCCAGAAATTGATGCCATTTTATCGGACTTGAATATAGATTTTGATACTGATAATCATAAGGATAAGAGTATGACTGCATTACTGTCATTCAGAAGCAAGACAAACGACTACTTTGCATGTGCAACTTGGGATAGAAGGGTTATACTTTGGAATATTTTTGACACATATGAATCAGTTTCTCTCAATAACATGCATGCAACAACTTTCAATAAGTCTAAGGTTAATCTGACACTTCAATTGAATTATGAAAGAGTAAACTTAGATAAGAGTCCTGCACAGCTGGATCATCTAACTACTTTGAATAACATTGCTAATCAACAATTTGACTCTGTCAGGATGCATCAGGATGTTATAACCGATATAGGTGTAGTCACTAGACCGTTTGAAATGATTGTTTCTGCAGATAGAAATGGCTTTATCAACTTATATAAGTAACTTTGTGTGGTCTGCAAATTGAAGCCTTACTGCGCAGCCAAAATTTTCACGATGCGATCTGTTAATATATCTATTAGTTAGACTTGATAATAACCGACTTAAATACTAAATAAATTACAAAATGGTATTCAATGACAAGCAAGGAATGAAAATCGCTTTTGAGGAAGCTAAGAAGGGTATGTAAGAAGCTCAAACTTTTTAACTGGCTTGTATATAATATGTACTGACAAAACAAGGTTACGAAGAAGGTGGGGTTCCAATTGGCGGAGCATTGATTCATGAGGATGGTACCGTTTTAGGTCGTGGACATAACATGAGATTCCAAAGTTCTTCAGCTACATTACACGGTGAAATTTCTACCTTAGAAAATGCTGGTAGATTAAAGGGAAGTATTTACAAAAAATGTACCATGTACACCACATTATCGCCTTGTGATATGTGTACAGGTGCTTGTATTATGTACGGAATCAAGAGAGTTGTCCTTGGAGAAAATGATAACTTTGTAGGGGGAGAGGAATTATTAAAGCAAAAGGGCATTGAAGTAGTGAATTTGAATGATAAAGATTGCAAAGACCTTATGAGTAAATTTATTAAAGAGAGACCAGAAGACTGGTATGAAGATATTGGCGAGTAGAGTTTTTATATATTCTTAATTCATACGTCTAATAGAATTCTGTAGGAGATTTTGTAGCAACATATTATGACTATTCCAATATCTATATTGATGTGCGGTTCTAAAATAAAAATTCAAAAATCTGATTCAGAATCGAAATTCTTTCATACAAGAAACATAACTACTTAATGGATGCAATAGCTGATTCTGTGTTTACAGATATAGGCTCCTCTGATTCTCCTAGTGATGATCCATCCCTTTTGACGGTAGTGCTTGATGTTACACCGCAAAGTTGGTATAAGATAAGAAATCAGATTACCATACAAGAAGTGGCAAAGTCATTGCTTGTATTCCTTAACGCACATCTTTCATTAAACAATTCTAATCAAGTAGCATTCATTGCTAGTACTCCGCAAGGTTCCAAGTTTTTATATCCTAATCCGGAGAAAAATTATGACGAAGTTAGTTCGAAGAAGAATGGTGAGGGTTCAAATTTGAACAAGGTAGATTCTACTTCGAGTTTGGTAGGTGATGGCATGTATAGACAGTTTAGAATTGTGGACGAAGCAGTATTGGAAAAATTGAATGAAACATTTGCAGATATATCCCAGAATATTGATAAGAGTCGTTCTAATTCAACGTTATCTGGTGCATTAAGTTTAGCCCTCACGTATACGAATAGAATGCTAAATTTGGACCTGTCGATTTCTACAACAACGGCATCAGCTATAAATACAACTACGAATGCCAACTCTAATAAAACTAATTCTTCGGGAACAACGTCAAATTCAGTGTCCACGGGTGGGACGAATACTACAAGTCTTACATCTATGAGATCAAGGATATTAATAGTTTCATCTAACGACGACAATGACATCAAATATATTCCAATCATGAACACAACATTTGCAGCACAAAAAATGAAAGTACCTATAGACGTAGCTAAATTGGGAGAAAAAGATTCTTCATATTTACAACAAGCATCAGATGCTACTAACGGTGTATACTTGCATATTGCAAACCCAGAAGGATTGATTCAGACTTTATCCACAGCATTTTTTATCGAACCATCGATCAGACTGTTAATAATACTTCCGACTAATTCCAATGTTAATTATAGAGCAAGTTGTTTCATTACGGGGAAATCAGTAAATCTAGGATTTGTTTGCTCTGTTTGCTTATGCATAATGAGTATAATTCCTAAAGAAGGTAAGTGTCCTACTTGCGGTTCTAAATTTGACGAAAAGATACTAGCACAATTAAGAAGAGGTGTTGTTATCCCCGTAAAAAAGAAAAGAAAGCTTGACTCGAATGGAAATGGCCAGTCTGATAATGTAACACCAGAAATATAAATAACGAATATATAATTCATTTTAATAAAGAAGGCTTTTTGGGATCTATTCCGCTATCGATTATGCCAAAATTGAAGTTCCGTGGGTAAGCATGTTTATCAATCATATGTAATCTTCTTTTTCGTCTATCAATACATATCTTATTACATCCACCATTTAACGAATAATGAAAGCATTTATAGACCTTTTCTCCCTTTTCCCTGCTTATTTGAAGAAATGGGTTGTGATTTTCATCGATATGTATATTAAGAAATGCTTCTGATGGAAACCTCTTCTGACATTCTAAGCAAAGAAAATTATGGGTATCAACTATATGCGCTTCGTACGCTAAATAACCATTAAAGCTAATTGGATTTAAGTGACACGGAGGTATAGAACAATTTATGACAGTTCCGCGTGATGTTAACGTCGGGTCTTCATTATATTCAACGTCACTTTCCCTTCTTGGTCGTTTACTCATTAAATAACTGACCAATTGATAAAGAAATCTAAACTGATGCTCATTATATTTATGTACTCATTTTTTTTCATTTCACAAGCACTTTGCCATAAAAGGCATTTGATATATAATAATGAGTAAACGACACGATTACCAGGATGATGAATATTCTAATAGAACGAAGCATACTAGGATAAGCAACGATAGCGAAGAAGAACATAACGCTAGTGCCCCAGATGTTGGATCATTTACTCAGGGCCCGCTAGATGCAACATTTGGCCAGCATGCAGCATTCCCTGTAACAAAACAACGCAATGAAGCCACAGACTCCCTAACTGATTCTGTTCAGTCGTACTTGGAATCTGTTAGAAGAGAGGCGGAAAAAGACCAATGCATTTACTATTCCCATAGATCCCAAAATCCAGCCCCAGGAGATAATGAAAATGAAACTATTGAAGACAGTAAAGAAGAGTCTATCATCCCAATTGCACCTGATAATAACGAAATATGGAAAACAGAGCTTATGGAAGAGTTTTTGCGATTGAAAGAAGACGTCGAAATATACCTGCAATCGTTAAAAGTGCAACCAAATCATACTTCAGAGAATAAAACAGAAGCAGAAGCGAATACAGAAATGCCCTTTGACATACCAGAAACAGCAACTGCCTGGCGACAGTACATTATCAACAATCCTCCTCCATCAATCAAATTCTTCTTACATTTAAACCGTCCTACGATTATAAAGCTTCTCATATATGCAACTAAATGGTTGAGTGCCAACAGTAATGAAAACCTATCCAAGTGGATATTTCTGCTTTTCTTACGACTTGACAACCTTTTAGACCATATTGACTGTTCAATTGTAAGAGATTTAGCAAAGAAGGCCGTAAAAATAAAGGTCAACACAAGCCCTCAGGATATTAATGACGTTTCGAAATATACAATTGACATGGTCATAGTCATTGTAGGAGAATATTATAGACAAAGAGACCTACTTGTATATTAATATAGGACTATTTACTTCATTAGAGATCAACTAGTAGTTGAGAATGTAGTTTTCGAACTGGCACTACCATGGAAAAAAGTGTTGATATCTCAACAATATATGCAATTAACATATATTAGATTAGATTTAAAGCAACATTGATTATCACTTATTCAATAATAAATATCAAATATAATGGCACCAAAGGTTATTAGAGAAGATTTAGTCGTACCGTACGTATTAGTTTTGTTTTGATAAAGATATAATTGCACTTCTATACGAAGAAATGATACTAGGAATAATGAACTAACATAATCAATAGATACAAGCATGTACCAGCTAAGGCCCGTTCTGAAGCTTCTGGAATGGTAGCACAATCATTGCCAATGGCAGCTATGTTTATGAAAAATAAATTGTTATCGTGGACGTCATTATTTTTGGCTATACAGTCGTACTTAAACGATCCTATCAATAAACAGGAAGACTCAGAAAGTCAACAACAGCCACCACTTTTAAAAATTCTTTTCGCTATTATTGCTGTTTGTACATGTTACATTGACTTGATCTTTCCTAAATCCAGTTCAGCTTCAAAGGTAGAAAGCTTAGCCCAAACAGCCAGCGCAACTGCGTCTGCCGTGATTTCTTCTGCTACTGGTAGTAACTAAGACTTAATTACATTTCTGACCTTATGGATCTTAAAAAATGGTTTAATATTACAAAATATAAATATCTATACATAACAATAATACACGTTTGAGAATAAAATTTGTGAAATAACCAGTAGCTCTATTTCCAGTTGAAAATAGCACTCTCTAAGCCTTTATACGATACAGAAAGTTTCAGTGAGGTATTGTCCCATGCTAAATCACAGATACCGATATCTGCTTTGTTTTCTGGCCTTTCTGTAGACGGTATTTCAAGATCATGGCATCCCATGCATCTTAGCACATCTTTCCTTTTACCAGAATAACGAGAGGGGGCAACATCCCATAAGGATATTCTTCCAGCGTCATCTCCAACAGCCAACCACCTATGGTCAGGAGATACTGATGCAATGAAAATCAAAGAGTCTTTCTTATTTGCAAATGATGTAGCAGTATTATCAGTAGGAAGATTAAAATTATCTTCGTTTTTAAATACATTTGTACTTACTATGGCTTCACCACTTGTCGTATTCCACATATTTACAATGCCTTCCATGGACACACTTAACAAAACACTTTCATTTTCTGAAGCATTTAGCCAAAACAACCCAATAATAGGAGATGTATGAAGTTTTATACCCACATTCTTTTTGTCGGTCTGAGTATTTAATTCAAGTGACTCATGCGTTGAACTGCTTTTCCATATTTTAATCACGTAGTCAAAATCAGAACTTGAGGCTAAAAGTTTAGAATTTGTACTGAATTTGAGAATAGATATATTATTATTGTGACCAGGGAGAAATCCAATAGGCTTGACTAATGAATCCAGGTTTACTGATGGTGCTAAATTAAACTGGCTACCATTCGTTTGTGGGACCGTAATTGCATAGACCTTAATTGTGTCCTTTGGAGTTGAAAGTGCAAATTTGAATTCATCTATCCAACAGGCATCTATGGTTGATGTTTGACATGCAGGGGTAGCGGGTGATTTGATGATTTGGATTAAATTCAAATTATTGCCGTCCCATAAACAAACTTGGTTATTTACTGCGATGGATAGCAAATATTGCCCGCTTTCGCTCCAAATCAAACTGGATATTAAAGCTGGGGTATGTTCGGTTTCTGGTGCTTCTTTATATCCTGTTAATGCATCTGCTTCGATATCAAATGATGCTGCCGTGTTAGCAATATTCTTTAATTTACCATCTGGTGACCATGCCCTAAGCTCACCATTTATGCCTGCAGTAACTATGATATTTCCCATAGGAGCCCACGAAACCGTTGTTATTTCGTTTTCTAGCACATTTGAATTGGATCCTTGAAGAACGTTCGGATGGTTCAACGTCACAGATTCCGCTATTATGTTATCTTTAATCGCATTTATGACTGCAGTAGAATTATCTTTCCCATAAGCAAAAACATCCGTACTTGGGTGCCAATGCGTCGTTAAACACTCAGGGTACTTAATATCCGGTACTAAGCTCTTAGTTGTAAACTCAATAGGTATTTCTGGCGCATCCAACTCTTCATCATCCTTCTTCTCCACTGACTCTTCGCCATCATTCATCTCGATATCCCCGTCGCTTCCCACCGCCTTAACTTCCGACTTTAATGCAAACCGCTCGTTGCCCTTTACCTCCAGTTGTTCGTATTTTACTTCCTCTTCTTCTTGTTTCTGCTTATCCAACTCTTCTTGTAATAAAGCTCCCAACAACGAGTATGTACTCCGGTCTGGTCCATCTTTCCGAGCATCCTCTTCCGCCAACGTAAACAATATCCCCTTCTGAACTAAGTTTACAAGACATCCTGGTTCAATTCGTGATATTATCGGCAAATTCTTATTATGTTCATACGACAGACACTGCGAGTGCTTTTCTAATGCAAATGCCGCCAAATCAAACCCCGATTCTTGGAGGTACCTCCATACCAAATAATTTAGCTCTGTACTAGTCAAAGACATAAGTTCCTTTACTAATTGCTTGAACTGTGTATGTTTCTAAATATCATATAGCTGGCTAAATTGAGCTTTCAAATTTTTTTGGTTTTGGCTGTAAGTTACACAAAACTGCAACTACCAGAATCTCAACAGAAGCATAAACAGACAGCTGTAGAAGTGAAAAGAGCTATATGGTATCAGATATTAGAGTTATAATTGATCTACAATGAACTTCGACGCCAAAGCATCTAATCGAAAGAGTAGGGCGCCGTGGCAAAGTTCTACAAATAATGCTAAAATAAGTAATCCATATGCTGACGCTAATACATCCGTGGTAACGAATAATGAGAATAATGATAGTTTACAAGTGCCTAATCCGTATGGCGTTAATAATAAGGGCAATAGGAAGAATACAAGAAGGTTGAGTATACATGCTTCAGCAGCAGCTGCTGGTAATAGGGGACCATTTGATGCAACTAACTTACCACCTGTTCCCCAACTATATAAGACAAACACGCAATCGTCCGATGCAGTGCTGGCTATAAGCAAAGGACAAGAAGAGGAAGAAGTGGATATAGAGACGAAGATCTTTGGGGAGTTATCTAACGGTACTGCTACGGAAATAGATGATTACTACAAGGTGTTGGTGAAACAGAAGGCATTGATCACCAGAGACATGAAAAGTAATATCAACCAAAATCAGAAGAATATCTTAGAATTAACGAATGATTTGAAGGAGACTCAGGAGGAACTTTTGCAGTTGCGTATTACTACCAAGGAATTATATGGCGTGTTGGACGAGTTTAAGGAGGCTGCTGAACGAAGAATAGATTTGGAACATGAGACCCAGCAGGCGGATCAGAACCATAATAATCTGTACGCAGCGTTGAACTCAAAGAAGCGTAAGGACCGTTCTTCGGTGATGGTTCTTGGAAAAATATGGGCCAGTGAATTGCAATCATTGTGTAAACACGTTGATGGGGCCTCGAAATATGTTCAGGCGTTACCTGGGAGACATGTTCTTGCCGAGAGTGGACGTTGGTATGAAGTTAATGTGGGGACATGGAAACCCACCAAGGCTACTCATTTATTTATGTTGAATGATTTGGTGTTGATAGCAACGAAGAAAAATTCAATGAACCAAGATACAGGTGATAAGAAAACTTCAAGACTACAAGCGATCCATTGTTGGCCGTTGCATGAAGTAAAGTTATCTGAAGTTCGCGTTCCAAGCAACTCGAATAAGACAGACAAGGATGGTAATAAACTTTATGTAATAAATATAAAATCTAAGTCGTTGAGTTACGTCTATCAGACAGATAGATATGATCATTTTTTGAAGATAACAGAAGCATACAATAAGGGAAGAAATGAAATACTAACTAAGGAGCGAATCCTTAACTCGAAGTCCATCGGTCAGACCCCTGACCTTATTGAAACCGACGAAGAGAAACGTCAATTACGTGAATCATTGAGAAATTCCGGAATAAGTGATGGTGCATCGGATGAAACTACTAAGCGCAAAAGTGGTACCAAACGTCATAGTGCTGATATTTTGTTACAGGATATTTCCGCTCGGGTACATTCAAGAAACAGATCACACGATTTTGACCATGGCCCACATGCCAAAATAAATGCTGCCGATAGAGGACAGTTTTTTAATGATTTGAAAAAAATTGAAGATAGACTAGACGAAGTCGATGTTGAAATATCCCGTAATAAGTACACTGAGTCAGTTGGACTTATTAGGTATATTGAAAACAAATTGTCCAGCATAGAACTGGCAATATCTAACAACTCATCAAACGCTGTAATTTCGATTGACGAAATTAAATTGCTTATTGATGTCATAAAATTGAAAATAAATAATAGAAAGTCGAAAATACAACAAGGTTTAGGTTTTGATTTGCAACACAATATAGGAAAGTTAACTACCTCTCAAATATCTACAATTATTGAGTTTTTTCATAATTTCGATCAATTGGATAAGGGTATATCCTTGTATTTGCAAGCAGTTACCAATAACTTATCGGTTAACGTATCCAGGCTAGTGGTTGGGGTCCAGGGTTCAACAAAAATAGATGTTGTTAACTATTTATCAAATTTGGTTATTATTAATGTTTCTATCATTAAAAGAGCTATAGCAGTCTATAAAGAGTGCATTGTTCCAGTATTGAAGAAGGATTTAAATGGTAATGTTGATTCTAGTGGATTGATTAATTGGTCTATTGACGAGGTTGCGAAATTGGTAAAAGCTATTAAAAAGCATCTTTATGGTAGTTTGGTTATTTTGACTGGTAATAATGAAGAAACTGAAGAGCCAACATATAAAGTTAAAGATACTGCATTATTTCAAGAATTCATTGGGGTGGTTAAACCTCAACTAAATACCTTAAAAGACGTCGGTGTTAATGTTGACTTCTTATTTGACGATATTTTATCATTACAATAATTGAAAAAAATATTAAGTATTAAATATTAATATAAATAGAGGATCTATTAAAGCATTTCGTAGAGCTTACTCAAATCTGAATGCTCTCTGTAATAAGCACCATTCCTTTTTAATACCACTAAAGTAAAAGCGGCTACTGTCATTATTCCCATTAAAATAGAGAATAAAATACCTGGGCCAATTGCTCTCAAAAGAGGTTCAACAACAAATGTGGCTATTGCAGCTATTGTTTGTCTGATTAAATTGTTCAATGCAACACCCGTTGCACCCTTCCCAGGTAATGTATCTACCAAATAAGTCACTGTTGCTCCAATCACTAACATCGAGGCAAACCCAAATAAAGCCGTACCAATTAATGGCGTCACCCAATGTGTTCCAAAATCTAGGCACCACCCAAAGATAAGACAAGCTGGAGGGAATAGGATAATTGCTGTTAAAACATTCCAAGAAATACGAGATTCTGGTACCATTTCCCCATTGTGTTTTTTAGCATACTTCTTCAATAAATAATCATTCCATTTACCACCCAGAATAGAAGCTACTACATATGTAACTGAGTTGGGTATATATAATAAACCAACGATAATTGTCAGAAATTCGTATGGCTCCTGTTTGAACTGGTAAGCAATTGTCATATTAAAAAAATACAATACTCCAAAAACAATTGCTGAATATGCAATGACCCATGCTACTGGAGGATGCTTCAATAAAACTACTGAATGCATGGGTCTAATGGTATAGTCGTAGGCATTTATTTTGAATTTCTCCCATTTTGATGGCTCCTTGATGGGCAGTTCCGTGCCTTGAGCAGCACCTGACAAAGTTCTATTAATATTATCAATTTTACTCTCACGATATTCCTTTGCAATTCTTCTAGAATAGCTTGACCTACCTGTGTAAGATCTGGCTAAAGTAGGCATTACTGCATCAAATGCTGGTCGTTCGTATTCCAAATCCAATGATTGTCTCGAGCCTGACCTTGACAAACTAGATGCAATTCTAGCTAATTCGGCATCTGAGTAATGTTGATTTGATTGTCTTGAAGGAATATTCAGTAATACTGACAGATGGGCCAGCCCAGAATCGTCTTGTTTTCTTTCCGCATCTTCTTTCTCGAGATCTTCTACCGGGTTTTCCTCTCCGTGGATGTCGTCTACAGCTATTGGTACCCCCGTTGTAAGATCCTGGTCTTCGTCATCTACCTCTTCCACTCTACGATATTGACGCAACATCTCTTTTACGGCACTGTCAGAATCCTGTTTTCGAATGGTCTCCGGCAAAAAAATCATAATTGATATAACGTTACAGCCAGAGAATATTACCAAAAGCCACTGGGTCGCTCTCCAGCCCCAAGCTTCGGCGACCGCACCACCCACTACTGGCGCTAAAAATGGCCCCATCAACGGCCCTAAGTAATACAACCCCATGGCCGTTCCTCTTTCTTCGTTTATATACAAGTCTCCCACAGTTCCTGCTCCAACTGCCTGTACGGATGCAGAACACCCACCTGAAAGTATTCTGAATGCAATTAAGGCCCCAATATTTGGGGACAAAGCTGCGCCAATAGTAAATGCGCAAAATAATACGAATGAGATAAGATAGACACTCCGTCTACCATGTTTTTCACTGAACGTCGACCACCACATAGGAAATATCCCTAACGACAACAAGTACATACCCACGGACACATTCACAATCGTTCCTGTTGTGTCCAAATCCTTCACCACGTCGTCTATGGCCGGCAACATAATAGATGTCCCCATGGGCCCTGTAATCGCCGCAAATGCAATAACAAACACGATAGTCAATTTATACGACTTGGGATAGTCTCTGGCATCCTCATATTCTGGGATTAATGCAAGATTAGCAAGTAGTCCTCTTTTTTCACCTGCAGGGACCTTATTCAGTCTCCCGGACGAAGCATTCGACCTTCGCCGATCCATATTCTCATTTGATTGTGCATCTTTCTCGCCCACTTCCTCTTGGTCTCTTGTTCTTTCTAGTTCAATAGGTTGCGGGTGCTCTGAATGCAACCCATGCGAAATATCCGACTCTAACGATATCGTTGATGAGTGTTGATCATCGGCCATATTTATCGACAATTTATGCGTTTCTTATATTATGACACAACCCATGTATTTATGATTACAATTTCTTTATGAATATCGTGAAATAAGTCTCGAGTGTCTATTGTACTTACAAAAAGCCTTATACTTATGAAGAGTCATATACTAAATTTTTAAAGAGTAGTGCCGAAGAGGTCTGCGCGCGGCCCCCACTATATGTCCAGCCATCCCCCTCTCTCCGATGCCCCAAAAGGGTACTAACCGATAGTGTTCGCTGATATCCATGGATCATTGAATCCCCGGGTGCAGCATTGTTTGAAGCACCTATCCCGTCATTCAGACCATTCTGGTATGTGTCAATGCGACAGGTGAATGCGACAAGTGTTCCATTGCCGAACAGGTCCAAAATATCGTCTGCAATAACCGAATGAAGAACTTCGTATACGAGCACCTTCGTCATGTCACATGGCCCGCCCTGCTGATGGGATTGATGAGATTATTTTCAA